CCTCAGTGATACGTTTCAAGTTTAGAGTTAGGGGTACCAAAGATCTCGACCTTGATTTGGAAAGCTACAGTCAACTATAAATATAAGTTGTTGGCTGCTGAAAATCTTCTCACCAGTTTGGTGTGGTGGTTAACTGTGCGGACTCTAATCTGGGAGAACCGGGTTTTATTCCCCGCTCCTCCACTTGCACCTGCTGATGTGACCTTGGGTCAGTCACAAGCTCTGGCACAGCTGTCCTAGAAAAAGAGCAGTTTCTGTCTGAGCTCTCTCAGTCCCACCCACCTCACAGGGTGTCTGTTGTGGGGAGGGGAAGGGGAAGGAGTTTGTAAGCCGCTCTGAGATTCCAGGTGAAGGGTGGGGTATAAATCCAATCTCTTCTTCTTCTTCTTCCTTATCAGTACGAGATCGACACTGGCAAGGATGGAATAATGCTGTGGACACAAAATTTAAACAACTAGGCATACATAAAACTGGGAACTTAACATCAAAAATTAGAACAGTGCTCAACAAAAAAATTAATGGCGCACGACTGGAATGCGTTACAAAAGGAGGCCACACGGAAATGCTCACCACTCTATGTGGGGATTAAATACTCCATCAAATTTGACAGTGGGAGGGCTTCTAGTGGCCTGGCCCCACTGATGGACCTCCTGGTGGCTCCTGGTATTTTTGCAGGGACAGAAAGGGCAAAAAACTGAACCTTAACACTAAAATTCGGAACCTAACGAAGGTTAGTAAAATGTGAAAAAGACGGCCAATATTAAAAACTAAATGTAGAAAATATATAGAAAAAGATACATGTATTTATTAATTGCAAATTTTAAAACATATATAAGGGCCCATTCACATCAAATATAGAAATAACATGGCAATACACATGGGCTTAAAAACCTGACCTAATGCGTTTCGGCCTGCATAGGCTTTCCTCAGAGGTCAAACAATTGAGTGGCAAGATGGCTATATAAATATAATACAATCATGTAGACAGAATCAGAATGGATACAAAATATACATTCAATATGGACCAGAAAACAAGGTGTTCCAGAATAAAACCACCAGGCACACAATAAATATGCAAATGAGATCTTTAAAAATGCAATCACTTGCCCAGTGGTTCTAAAGTATAGACTTTTGGTCCAAGAATTGCCTTCTTTGCTTGTGTTGCCACAGTGTTCTCAAACACTGATAGCCTGGCAAGAACTCAGACTATAGTGGCAGCTGACCATCATTGTTTATTAGCTCCTATGACTACTAGCACTTTTGATTTCATATGTTCTGGTTTTTATTTAAATCTTGCATTTTAACATATTTTATTGTTAAAATAAAAAACTATTAGTTATTAGGTTGGTACTGATATTGGGCCAGGGCCACAGTATTGGGAGGCGGCACCCTAATCAAACGCCTGGTGAAAGAGCTCTATTTTAAAGGCCCTGCGGAACTGCAAAAGGTCCCGCAGGGCACTGATGTCATCTGAGAGCTCATTACACCATTAAGGGGCCACCACAAAAAAGGCCATGGCCCTTGTCACAGCTAGCCAAACAGTTTTGGGATCCCGATCTTAGTGCTCTCTGGGGAGCATGTGGGGAAAGGCGGTCCCTTAGGTAAATAGGCCCCTGACCATATAGGGCTTTAAAGGTAAGAACCAGCACCTTGAACCGAATCTGGTATGCTATAGGCAGCCAGTGCAGTGCTTTCAGGGCAGGCTGGATGTGCTCCCAAACAGGAAGACAGAACAACAGCCTCGCCACTGTGCAGCTTCAAGATTTGGGACGGGGCAGCCCCATGTGGAGAGCATTACGGTAATCCAATCTCGAGGTGACCATTGTGTGGATCATTGTCGCCAGGTCATTGTGGTGAAGGAAGGGAACCAACTGCTTAATCGGATGCAGATGGCAGAAGGCAGACTTCGCAGTGGCTGCTACCTAGGCCTCCATCATTAAGGTTGGTAGTCCTACCATCCAAGCTCCTAACCTCTGGCACTGGCACCAACGGCACCCCATCAAAGGTTGGGAGTGGGATCCCTAGCTTTGGCCCTCTCTGACTCAGGCACAGGACCTCTGTCTTCATCATATTCAATTTCAGTCGACTCAGTCTAAGCCAACTAGCCACAGCTTTCAATGTCAGATCCAGATCTCCCGGACTAGAGTCTGACTGGCTGTCCAATAACAGATAGAGCTGGGTGTCCCCTGCATATTGGTGACAACCTAGTCCATGACTCCAGGCAATCTGGGCAAGGAGGTGCATATAGATGTTGAATAACATTGGGGAAAGCACTGCTCCTTGGGGCACTCCGCAAGTTAGTGGGTGCCTTCTGGATAGCTGTTCCCCAATGGCCACCCTTTGTCCCCGACTCTGAAGGAACTAGGAGAGCCACTGCAAGGCAGACCTCTGAATCCCAGTGTCGGTGAGGTGGTGGATCAGTAGTTGATGGTTGACCATGTCGAATGCCGCCGACAGGTCTAACAACAACAACACTGCCATACCACCTCGATCCAGATGCCTCCAGAAATTGTCTGTGGGGGTGACCAGGACCATCTCCATCCCATAGCCTAGTTGGAAACTGGACTGGAAGGGAATCCCCTTGTTGTTTATTTTTACTGATTCCCAGGGGTCATTTCCTGCAGGAGCGCACAAGAGCAGAGCTCCGGCAGTAAAGAGCCCAGGGGGTGGGCACATGCAACAAGCTCCACCCCCTGCTCACAGCAGCCCTCAGTCAGAGCAAGAAGCAGCCAGGTAAGCTACAGAGCTCCCCCAGCCCCCGATCCAAAACAGTCCAGTGGCATCTTTAAGACCAAGTTTTATTCAGGTACAAGCTCTCCCTCCTCTGCGAGGACAGATCTGCACGTTACTCCCCCCTCCCAATAGCTAGCAATCCAAAACAGTCCAGTGGAGCCTGAGCGGTGGGTGCTGCCTTCTGACACACTTCTGGTGATGTCAGGGGGCGTGGCATATGCAAATAAGTGATGCTAATGAGTTATGCTAATGAGCTCTTGAGAAGTGCTTGCCCACTCCAGAACCACTGATTTCAGGAGGGGTGTTGGAAGACCTGAGTCAGATTGAGGTGACGAGAGAGGAGGTCCTAAAACTGATAGACAACTTAAAAACTGAAAAATCACCAGGCCCAGATGGCATACATCCGAGAGTTCTGAAAGAACTCAAATGTGAACTTGTAGATCTCCTGACAAAGATATGTAATCTTTCCTTAAAATCTGCCTCCATTCCTGAGGATTGGAAGGTAGCAAATGTCACTCCCATCTTTAAAAAGGGTTCCAGAGGAGATCCGGGAAATTACAGGCCAGTCAGTCTGACGTCGATACCGGGTAAATTGGTGGAAACCATTATTAAGGAAAGAATTAGTAGGCACATAGATGAACAAAACCTATTGAGGCAGACTCAGCACGGTTTCTGTAAGGGAAGATCTTGTCTCACTAACCTGTTAGTGTTCTTTGAGGGGGTGAACAAACATGTGGACAAGGGGGATCCAATAGATATTATTTACCTTGACTTCC